TGTAAAAACCCAGTAAAATTATTCAACAGATAAAAGGCAATGTGGCAGGGTAGCCGAGTTCTACAACATATTCTGCCCTGAACTGAAAAGCTGAAATTATGACCATCACTGGTACAGGGTCACTAGCTCTCCTGAATTCTTTCTTGATATATTAAATGAAGGTATTAAATGGGAAAACTTGAGCAGGTAGCTTCCGGGTATGCATTTGGTTCCAAAATTCTAGGATTCTTTTCACTTACAGGTTATGCTGATATTAGTTTCACTGTCCTCATTAGTTGTAATGTTGTAACTAGGGTAAGACCACAACATAGCAGTCCCAGAATCAGAGCCACTTACAATTCATGATTCTGACCCTGAGCCAGGCAGCCCAAAATTATGTCCTCAAATCAACAAAGATGCAGTGAGTACAAGGAAGATGGGGAAGAAAGAGAAAGGCAGGTGGTCAAAGGACTGGTCTGAGGCACATAAGTGGTGAGGACAATGAATAATCAGACCCTCTTTCCACAGGGTAATAGGCGGTAAATACAGTGCTTTGCAGGCCAATGATCAGATCAAGTGCATGCGTTAATTAAACGTAGTTGTCCTGGCCTAAACTTAATAAGGATTCACGTATAAACTCATTCATTCAGATGACAATGAGGCAACATGGGAAGGACGGTCACCATGCAGCAATAACTTAGCATGGTCTTCCATTGTCTCATAAAGACACACTGGCCAGCAGAATCAGGAATCAGTGACTCATGCAAGTGTGGCCTCATCATAGCTAACATACAACTGTCTACTGACTCATTTTTTATTTTATTTTGTTTTAGATGGAGTTTTCCTTTTGTTGCCCAGGCTGGAGTGCAATGGCGCGATCTCGGCTCACGGCAACCCCCACCTCCTGGGTTCAAGCAATTCTCCTGCCTTAGCCTCCCAAGTAGCTGGGATTACAGGTGCCCGCCACCACGCCCGGCTAATTTTTTGTATGTTTAGTAGAGACAGGGTTTCACCATGTTGGCCAGGCTGGTCTTGAGCTCCTGGTCTCAGGCAATCCACCCACCTCAGCCTCCCAAAGTGCTGGGATTACAGGCGTGACCCACTGTGTCCGGCCTGTCTACTGACTTTCTAAGCCCACCCTGCGTACACTCTTCTTTGCATACAAAACACAGCTAGTACTTATTCACCTTAGCAGAATGTATACCACGTTTATACTCTTGGTATAAACTGCCTTTGTGGGGTTCATAACCTGGATGTCCCCTTTACAGGAACCTGGATGTACACTAAATAGGCATTAAGCATTCACTTAGAGGGGCAGCTAAGTAGAAAAAGGGCAGAGGTGGATTGGGATGGCAGCGCTCAGCCTCCCCAAGACTATTCCATGCTCTTTAGCTGCCAGGCTTTCATTCCTCATGCAGCAACATAAAAGCATGAAGTTAAATGGCAGAGAACATTGGCAGTGCCAGCAACGGTCAGGATGGGTCCAAAGACCAAGGTGTCATTGGGCACTGATAAAGCTATGGAAACAGAACCAACTTCATATTGCAATAGCACAGAACGCACGATGGGGACCAGACCAGCCAGTGCAGCCACCAGCATGATCTCAGAAGAGTGTATCTCCTAGGGTCCTGTGCTGCCCACCCATCC